GACACACAGGGAGTCCTTGAATGGCAACCATTCCTATAGCGACCGTCCGAAGTTACAACGGCACTGAAAAAAAGTGACTTAGGACCAATTTTCACACTTATGACCGTTGCGATGTCCCCATTTACATTCGGATGCTTAACAACTCATTCACATTTAGCCCCTTTTGCCACCTTCTGACAAGCAAAGTCAACGGGGAAGCCAGATACGCATAACAACTCTGTTACTAACAACTGCAGTGATCCGTTTAATAACCGTCAGAAAAATTCTCCCTATTTCCAGGTTGAATCTCTCCTTGTTCAGTTTCCATCCATTATTCCTTGTCTGGCCTTTGGGGGCTTTGGAGAATAGCTTGATCCCTTCCTCCTCTCTGTGGAAGCCCCTCAAATATTGGAAGACTGCTATTCTGTCTCCCCTGGTCCTTCTCTTCCCTAGACCAGCCAGGCCCAGTTCCTGCAACTGTTCATTGTTTTAGCCTCCAGTTCCCTCATCATCCTGGTTGCTCTTCTCTGCACTCTTTCTAGAGTCTCAGCATCCTTTTTTTATAGTGTGGTGACCCAAACTGGATGCAGTACTCTAGGTGTGGTCTTACTAAGGCTTTGTAGAGTGGTATTAGTACCTCCCTTGTTCTTGATTGTATCCCTCTGTTAATGCAGCTTGGGATGGCATTGGCTTTTTTGGCTGCTGCTGCTGCACACGGCTGGCTCCTATTTAGCTGGCTGTCCACTAAGACTCCAAGATCCCTCTCCCAGTTCCTGCTCTTAAGCCTGGTTTCACCCAGTCTGTATTGTACGTTGGGTTTTTCTTGCCTAAGTGGAGGACTTTACTTTTGTCTACCTTGAATTTCATTTTGTTAGATAGGGCCCAGTGTTCTAGTCTGTCAAGATCCATCTGGATCTTGAGCCTATCTTCTTGGGTGTTAGCTATTCCTGCCAGCTTAGTATCATCTGCAAATTTCGGAAGTTCCCCTTCTATTCCCTCATCTAAATCATTTATGAAGATATTGAAGAGTCCTGGGCCTAAGATGGAACCTTGTGGCACCCCACTGCTTACTTGCCTCTATGTAGATGTAGTACCATTAAGGACTACACATTGAACACTGTCTGTCAGACAGTTACGAATCCATCTGGTGGTGATGCAGTCTATCCCACTTTTTTCTAGCTTCCCAAGAAGTAGGTGGTGGTCTATTTTGTCGAATGCCTTGATGAAGTCTAAGTATGTTATGTCCACAGTATTTCCATGGTCTACTAATTTAACACAGGGCAGGCAGAGACAGGCCTGCTCTAAGTAGCAACCCTCCAATTCAAACAGCCAACGTGCTGAGCTGGGACCCTACCTGTCTCGGCACTGCAGGTCGTTCCTGCCGGGCACCTCCGCCCGGATCTTATACCAGTCTCGCTCTCCGTACTTTGCCACAGCCTTCAGGAGCAACTGGAAGGGACAAGCCAAAAGGGGGTCAGGTGAATATGTGCTGTTGGTGGAGGAAGAGGGGTGTGCCTGCCCTCCTTCAAGAAGCAGCAATGGAGGGAATCAAGAAAAGGGATGTTGGAAGTTACGATTCCCCTCCCTTCTAGGAAAACAGCCCCCACCCTTTGTCAAACAGGGCTATTCAAATAGCTGGAGCCAGCTTACTTTTCACAACAAAGGAAGGAGAAAATTTAAAGGCATGGGATACATAGAAAAAACCCCCTACAAACTAGCTAAGATCCTTTCCCACAGAAATCAAATAGATGGCAGGTTATAAAAACTTTTAACCAAAAGGCAGGGCAGGAAGGAACCATGATAGCAAACAAGCAACTACAAAGGATCAGGACCATAAAACCAAGATCCCAGGAAAAGATCCCAATCTCAAAGAGACAGGAATTCAACGCACACAAATCAAAGACTTCACTTCCAAATCAAAGGACCTGAAAAAGGATAAGAAAGGGGTTTTCTTACCCACTTATTAGATTAATCCTAGGAACGCTGTGAGATTTCTTTTTAACCGCCTTCCTATTAATAAATTGATTCTAACTTCCAAGCAGCTGACCAAATCATTTTGCATTAAAATCTCCCAGCCGGGAAATTTGAATCTGTAAAAGGAAAGAACTTTGCCTATTCCTTAAAGGGACAGGCTTCTTTTTTTCATTTCCTCAGGGAGCTTGGGCAAAAATACATAGTTGTCTAGAAAAAATAATAGGGAAACACAACCTGAACTGTTTTTATGAGGGATGATATCAAAAAAATTGGATAAGAAAAGTATTTGTTTAGTATGACATGCCTTAACAGCAACGAGGACTATCTTCGCACAATATTTATTGGAAAGATGAAGAAACACCCCAAGGTGAAGAGATAGTTAAGAAGATACTAGACTGTTCAGAAAATGGACAGACTGACATTGAAAATCAAACAGAAAGAAAACAGAATATTATCAAACATGGAACATATTTTACCAGTGGTTGGAAACAAGAATGGAGAGTAGGAATGGCACCTGTATTGTTAAGCAAATTAAACACCCAGACAACACAATGGTTATTAAGCACTAAGAAACGTAATTAAGAGAAAATTGATACAATTTATTAGAAGAAAAGAAAAGGGAGCTGGTGGAGATGCCCACATGGTCCCGCGGAGCAGTTTTCCCAAAGAAGTTAGCCGAGAGATGTTTGTGGAAAAGGCCCCTTACTTACAGCATCCTCTTTTGGTGTCCAGGCGCCTCGCTTTAAGTTGGGGTCCACTCGCTTGGTCCATCGGTAGATCAGCTGGGCAGAGTCCCTCCCCTCCATGTAGTATGCCACTGTGGAACAGGCAACACTTGCAGTCAGCGTTTTGCTGGACCAGAAAAATCCCTATGGCTTGATCGTCGCTTATGCGCAGCACCAGAGAGGCTGCTTCGACCCCTCCTGCAGAAGAGGGCATCCTCGCATTACCTGAGCCGGGTGCCTCTCACGGTCAGCTGCTTCAACATCTCAAGCCTCTTTGGCTCTCAAATACCAACCGGAGACATTTTGGAAGGAGTCATACAAGAACCTAGACCAGCATTTCCCAACTTTGGCCGCGGTAAGATGTGTGGACTTCAGCTCCCAGAATTCCCCAGGTAGCCGTGTTGGTTGGGGAATTCTGGGAAATGGAAGCCCACTGTCAGATCCGTGTATTTGTCATTTCTTCAATGGAAGAAGAGGGAGAAGGGGGGGGGGGAGACTGATAAAGAAATCCTTCTTGATGTAACCTGAATATATTTAATCTTATATGGAATTTGTATAACCTACACATGATACAATGGAGGGATGAAACCCAGATGGCCGGAACCTATCACCTCTGAGAGAGACAGCCAGGAGATGAGAAGACCATAAAAATTCCACAGTGAGATGTGTCCTGGGAACCTCTGGAAAAGTTCGTTCTCAAAAGGGGGTGGGGGGAATTAACATGTTGGCTCTTCGTTTTACTAAATACACATTAAGATAAGGGGAGGGGTCTTAAACTCCCTTATCTATCTCTGCATGCCTGAGAGACCTTAGACGCTGCTTTTAACCCCTACATGAATTGTCTCATCTCAATAAAGGATTCCTTTTTGATACGTTGTGATACGTTTTCAGAGGTTCATTCTAGTTAATTGAATGGGAAAAGTTCTGTAGCCTGACACCCACACATCTTCAAGAGGCCAAGGTTGAGAAATGCTGAATTAGACAGAGGCCACTGATGACTTGACCAATCAAGACAAAACACTTTGGCACCAGCAGCAAAAGCAGTACTACCTCCATAACCAAAGGACACACGGATCCAGAAAGCCAGTGAATCCATACTGGGAAACTGAGGAAGGCTACATTGACCCCCAGGTCACAAGAGCAAAGAAACAGGTCCTAGTTGTGCTCAAGAGGGCTGCTCACCCTCTGGTTGAAGGAAGAGAAGACCAGGGAGGGAGCCCTCATATGCTGGCTCAGCACAACAGCTTCCATTAGAAAAGGGGGGGGGAGGGAAAGGGAGGGAAAGATTGGAATGTGCATTCCAGATGATAACAAGAAATGGTCTCATGGGAACCAAGGACATTTCAGCAGGTGTCTGCCAGAGTCGTGGAGATTTTCCTATAACAACACTTTGCTTTCAACAATGCTTTCATTCTGTGCCAAAATGATGTACTCAATAAAGTTTTGCATTTAAGAGATCGGATCGTTTCGACAGTGCTTGTTTGGTGGGGTTTATCAGTCGGAACCTTAACAGTGGGTGCTACAATCACGACACTCCCCACCCCCCCCAGGAGGTAGCTTACTTTTCCGGTAGGGAATGTGATTCCCAACGCGCATTTCCTGCACGAGCTGCCTAAGCATCTGGTCTTCTTCGGGGCTCCATTC